CTGCAGTCGCCTCTGTCCTTGCCTGATGAACGGCTCAGGGCTCAGCGGCAGAAAGTGCCTCCCTCGTCCTGGCTGCCCTGCCCTCTCTGCCCACGACACCCTGCGCAGGTAGCATTTATCACATCACCTCTAATTATCTGCAGTGTCTGGGAGCTCCAGGGGGTGGAGGAGAAAGGCTGAGCCTCTCTGGCCCCAGCCCCCACCCCAGGGCAGGGCCTGGTCTTGTCTCAGAGGGGCATCTGGTCTTGTCTCCGAGGGGCATCAGTCACTGACTCGAGCCTGTCTGTCCACGCCTCTCCAACCCCCCCAACCCCACCCCCGAAACTCCCCCGCGGGGTAAGTGGTCCTGTGGTTCTCCTGATGCCAAAACCACCCAACACTTTCCCTGCATGCCCTGCTGGCCCTCCGCCAGAGCTTCTAGGAGCCCCCACCCCCTGCCACCTCATTCCTCGGCCTCCTGCATCTCTTCAAGTTGAACTCGGTTACTCTCTGAGTCCTGCTTGCAACATTTTGTGAGTTGCTGTTTCAGAAGCCTCAGGTCCACATGTGTGCCTAAACCTGAGCTAAGTAACAGCCCTCCCCATAGCTCCCCCCAGCCAGCCTAGCCTCAGTGCCCCGGCCCCAACCTCACCGGTCCTGTCCAACAGCCTTACATCTACCCCCCTCCTGTCTGCACGGGACCCTAGCCCCGCTCACCTGGCAACTCCTCCTCGGGGTCCACAGCCACTCTTTCCCTGCTGTAGCCCCTGCTGAACATGCAAATCTGAGCACTTCTCTCTAAGAACCCTTCAAAGGCCCCCACACCCTCTAGATAAATTCCTGCCTTGCTAGGGCCCCACCCCTTCCTCCCTGAGGCTCATCCCTTGCTCCCTGCTGGAACTTCAAGCTGGCACTCCTCCTTCAGACCCCAGCCTCAATGCAACCTCCTCCGGAAGTCCTCCCCACCCTGCCTCCTGGTCAGGTGTCTTCCTCAGCTCCAGTAATGCCCCAGAGTGCCCCATGGGGCCCCATCACAGCTCCCCACCCCTGTGGGCATAGCTGTTAGTTTGACTTCCTGTGTCTTAGGCTCCACAGTATCCACAGGGCCCAGTGGTCAGCACTGAGTGGGCAAATGAAGGCTGTGGGGTGGCTGGGGGGACTCAGTATAAAGCCATAGAAAATCAATTTGTAAAAACACTGCTGTGTGCTGGACTCTTTGTTGTGTCTAATCCTACAATAAGATGCCAGGCGGGCATCCTATTTTCCCCATGTCACAGATGAGGAAACTGAAGTTTGCAGAAGCTACCATAGTGACTTGAACAGCATCCCCCCAAATTCATATCCATCTGGGAGCTCTGAAAGTGACCTTATCTGGGAATAGAGTCTTTGTAGATGTCGTTAGCGTGGGCCCTAAATCCAATAACCAGCGTTCTGGTAAGAAGGCCATGTGAGGGGGCAGCTGGGTGGCTCAGTCAGTTGAGCATCTGCCTTCGGCTCGGGTCGTTGTCTCAGGGTCCTGGGATCGAGCCCTGCATCAGGTTCCCTGCTCAGCGGGGAGACTGCTTCTCCCTCTCCCTCTGACCCTCCGCCCAGCTTCTGCTCCTGCTTGGCTTGCCCTCTCTCTCTCTCTCTCAAATGAGTAAATAAAAAATCTTAAAAAAAAAAAAAGGCCATGTGAAGAGGGGGCACCTGGGTGGTGCAGGTGGTTGAGCATCCAACTCTTGGCTTTAGCTTGGTTGTGATCTCCAGATCATGGGATCAGGCCAGCTGGGCTCTGAGCTCGGTGGGGAGTCTGCTCGAGACTCTCTCCCTCTCCCTCTGCGCCTCCCTTCTCTCTCTCTGTCTCTCAAATAAATAAATCTTTTATTTTATTTATTTATTTAATTTTAAAAGATTTTATTTATTTATTTAACAGAGAGCTAGAGAGAGAGCACAAGTAGGCAGAGCACAGGCAGAGGGAGAAGGAGAAGCAGGCTTCCCACTGAGCAGGGAGCCGGATGTGGGGCTCGATCCCGGGACCCTGGGATCATGACCTGAGCCGGAGGCAGCCATTTAACCAACTGAGCCACCCAGGTGCCCCGATCTTTTTTTTTTTTTTAAGATTTTATTTATTTATTTGACAGAGAGAGAGAGCACAAGCAAAGGGAGCGGGAGAGGGAGAAGCAGACTCCCCGTTGAGCAGGGAACCTGATGCGGGGCTCGATCCGAGGACCCTGGGATCATGACCTGAGCCGAAGGCAGACGCTTAACTGACTGAGCCACCCAGGCATCCCTAAATAAATAAATCTTAAAAAAAAAAAAAAAAAAGGAACGTCATGTGAGGAGAGACGCAGGGATACAGATAAGAAAGCCAGGTGACAACACAGGCCCGGGTGGCAGTGATGGAGATGGAAGCCAAGGAATGCCAAGGATGCCAGCAACCACCAGAAGCTAGGAGAAAGCAAAGGAAGAGTCTTCCCTAGAGCCTTCAGAGGTAGTGCAGCCCTGCCAACACCTTGATTTCTGACTTCCAGTCTCCAGAACTGAGGGAATACGTTTGTTGTTTAAGCCACCAAGTTTGTGATAATTGGTTATGACAGCCACAGAAAACTAACACAGCTACCTACTTTGCCTATGTTCGTACGCCCTAAAAAGGACAGGTCCAGGCGATTCTAATCAGTCCCGAGCCTACACCTGTGACCCTACCCCCCATGGAGATTCCTGGCCCTGCCGCAGGCTTACAGGACATCCCTATAGAGCCAGCTCCAAGAGAAACTGTTTCCATTGAGTGTCTGTCTGCTTCTGTCCTCCTACTGAGTTCCCAAACCATCCTGCATCCTTCTCGGGAGTGGCTGCCAGAAGGCTCATTGTCACCTGGCTCCTCGCTGAGGTACCATAAACCTTGCAGGTACTGGGGCTTAGACTATCCCACTGGGTGGATAGAGAAGAGGCCCAAAGGTGGGGCAGGTCCAGTTCCAGCCACAGCCACACCCTTCACCCCTTCTTCTGGGTCATCTGGACCTTGGTTCCCTGTCACTCCAGCTCCCTGTCACCACATGGGGTGGCCAAGAGCGTGGGAAGCCAAAGATGTGACTGGCACTGCTGCTTGTCTCCTGGCAGGCCCCACCTGGGGCCCAGGATGTGTCCCCAGCAAGGCCTGGGGTCCAGCTGTGTCCCTCGCACCTGACTCTCTGGCTCCCCAACTTCCCCCCTCACTGGCTGTCCAGGGGCCTGATACAAGCCGCTGAACCCTATCAGCCCCAGCGGCTGGGGGGGCAATCAGAGCACATGCTGCCCCCTCCACCCCCAACCCATCCACCAAAGAGGGTCTCCACAAACACAGATCTACAGAGCAAGGCAACTTCAGGGAGAGAGGCCAGTGGCCTTTACTTAAATATACACGGAGACTAGTAAGGAGGAATGATGCCCCCCACTCCTGAGGGCACAGCTCTGTCTCTGGGGCCTCCTACCCAATTCAGGTTAGGCCTGAAACACTCCCTGAGAGCCAACTCAACCTAACCACCCCCACAGGAGGCAGAGGGAGGCCCATCCAGGGATCCAGGCCCAGACGCCACCTCCCTCTTTTTCTGGGAAAATGTCCTCCAGGAATCTCTCAGCCAAGAACACAGAGGGTGGGGTAGGACCTGAGGGGTGTGGGGCTGGGGAGTAGTTCTCTGCTGTCCACAGGACTACAACTCTGAGCACCCCTGCATGCCACTGTCTGGGTTGCCCCCTCCGTGACAACCAAGCTCGACCCTTCCTCCCCACCCCCCGGACCCCCACCTCGGCCTTCTCATGTTTGAGGGGACAATGTCCAAGCCTGGCTCGGCCTCTGGAAGGATATGGTCAGGATTTGGGAGACAGCCCAGTTTTGGCTCCAGCCCTGAGATGTAGAGGAGAGAGGGGGGGTTCTTACCAGGCTGCCAGCTCTGGACAGGGGTCTGAGAGGTCCCTGGGGCAAGGGGCTGCTGCGTAAGTCTCTGGTCCCGTCACCACCACGTCAGGTCAGCGACAGCGCCTGGGCCCTGGAGGAAGGCAAGCCAAGCGGTCATGCAGGTTTGCCAGGAAGGAAACCTGTGGTGCCAAGGTGGCCCCAGGACAATGCTGACTACAGAGGGGGGTAGTGGAGGCTGCTAGGTCCAGCTGGCGGATGGCAGGGGAGAAGGGGGCCCAGGATAGAAAGGCCCCAGGAGTCCCAATGGGGGTGTCCAAGCAGGCAACAACAGGGGTCAGCGTTCAGTGGATGGTCAAGTGACAAGGACACTAAGCTGTCCTCTGTCTTAAATCAGGGGCTCAGCCCTGGGGGACCACAGTGCCCAGCACCCTGTCCCCAGACACACTCCTGGAGGGCAATACTTAATCCAAAAGAGGAACCTGCATCTGCCCTCACTTACCATGTGCCCTCAGATGGCCACCCCTTGCCCCCCACACACCCTGTCTGTGCTCACCCCTCCTGCACTGGTGCCCAGGCCCACTGTCCTCATAGGCTGGACACACCCTCTTTGCTGTGGGAGTTGGGGATCTGGAGCCTAGTGCTCCAAGTGTCCCCTACCCAGGGAATGTGAGGGCCCAGAGCTGGGAGGGGGGCCTGCAGGGGACAGCAGGCCCCCAAGTAGGCCCCTAGAGCTGCGGTGGGTCCCTAGCTCAAACTTGATCCCTGGAGGAGCCAGGGCTCCCCCTCCTCACACTGCCTCCCCACCCCTGTCAAGCTGGAAGAAGGAAGCCTGGGACAGGTGCAACTGACCTGCTAGCCAGCCTGCCCAGAGCTAGCCCTAGGGTTAACCAGCACTCTTCATCCCAAAAATCTGCCAGGCCTGGGTCAGAGGGAGCCCGAACCACCTAGGCTGCCCCAGCCTGCCCCCAGCCAGGCAGGGAGGGGCAGTAAATATTTGTCAAGCAGGAACGTCTATACAGGTGGACGGGTCATACTACAATTAATTGCCCACTGCCCGGGAAAGTCCTGAAGGCAGGTGATGTCACTGCCTAAGGCTGGCACCAGAATCCCCACACGCCCGGCCTGACTCCGAGTCCAGTGCTCTTTTGCACCACCAAAGCCACTGTTCCACTGTCAGCCAGCCAGAGGCCATGGCCAAGCGCCACCTCGTCCGGCCCTGGCTCAGCGTCTCCCCCAACGGCTCCAGGCCCTGGAGACAGAGCTCCAGAGCCCGGTCTAGCGCGGGCCGGGGCCTCTACTAGGGAGACCTCCCGAACCGAGTGTTTGGGAGCTCCGGGGCCCCCAGCAGGACGCCCCCTTCCACCGCGGCGGCCCCGCCCGGGCGCGCACCCCCAGATCCCGCGCCCCCCACCGGTGCAGCCCCGGCCGGGGCGGGGCGGGGCCGGGGGCGGGGCGCAGACGGCCGGGACTCCCTTCCAGCTCCGCGCCCGCAGCTCAGCGACCATGGGGGCGCGGCTGGGCCGGCGGACCGGAGCCGAGGCGGGCTCGGAAGCCCGGGCGGCGGCGGGGTGCGGGCCCGCGCCCTATGAGCGCCGGGTGCGCTGGCTCCGCGAGATCCAGTCCACGCTCCGCGAGCGGCGGCCCGAGCGCGCCCGGCAGCTGCTGCGCCTCCTGCGCCAGGCGAGAGAAGGAGCGGGCCGGCCCGGGGCTGGAGGCCGGGGAGGGGCCGGGAGCCGCGGGCTGCGGGCCTGGAAGGGGCCGGGAGGTGCTGCGGAGCTGGCCCGGGGCGCGGGAGGCAGCGCTGGCCCCGGACGGGCGCGCGGGCCGGCAGGGTTCCGAGGGGAGGGCACGACTGGCTGAAGGGGCTTGTCTGGGCGAGAGGGCGAGGGACAGAAAGCAATCGGCTAGAGCGGAGGCCCGCGAGGCTGCGGGGTGGGGTGGGGGCTGTGAGTGCGGAGGAGGGGGCCGCGACGGTGTCCACCTCTCTGGGGTTTGAGAGGTCAGTTGTGTGTGTTGAGGGTGCCCCAAGCCTGGAGCTAAGGACCCAGATTCAGGCCTTGGCGGGAGAAGGGAGGAGCGGCAAGGGAGCGGTGGGAGGGGGACGAGATCTTATACTGCAGGGCAAGGGGAAGGGGACAGATCCTGGCTCCTCCAGGTTGAAGGGAGGCACTGCACAGGAGCCTGGAGAGAGGACCCTGGGAAGTGACAGCCCAGCTGGTCAGCCAGTGTGACCCACCATGAGCCTATAGCAGCTACAACTCACATCACCCATCCTCCTAACAGGCAAATCACACCCACTGAGTACATACACCTGGCATCTGTACCTCACAACACCACATCTGGACTGGGGTGGGGTGGGGGGGCAGTGCGCCTCTGGTCTCACACACACCAGGTACCGGAGCCAGCCCGGGGTGCCCTAGGAGACATGGGTTCTGGTCCCAGCATCACCACTGGGCAAGCCACTTCCCTCTCTGGCCATGTCCCCATCACCCACAGCAGCTGCCACCACAACCTGCCCCGTCCAGGAATCTGAAATCAGCCACGCAGGTGTTTGGCCTGCAGGTGGATGATTAGAGAAGGGAAACTGAGGCTTGGAGAACAGTGGTGAGCCTATGACCACAGAGCAGACTGGGGGGCAGCGGAGGCCGGAGCCCAACCTCTAGTCTCCCAGCCCCGCTCCCTGCTGCACTGGGTTTCCTTTCTCTAGGCTGACAGGGCTGGAAAGGTGGGGCTGGCCCTTTAAGAGGAGCTGTCCAGACCAGCAGAAGGCTGACTGTGTCTGGGGCCCTGTCTGGGTCAGCCCAGGCTCACCAGCTAGCCCTCTCTTCTGGATCCTCCCTAGCTGGCATTTGTAACTTGAATGGTGTTTAAAATGCAAACAGCAAAGCAGCACCAAATCAGCTAGACCATCCAGAGGTACAGATCTTTGTCTGGGATGGCATCTGGAGCCCAAGCACCAGTGGGACTTTTTTTTTTTTTTTTTTAGCTGGGAAACCAGCTATGTTGCCCCCTTGTGTCTCAGAGGTCAGGATTCCCAACCAAAGAGGGGGCTGTCCTGCCCCACAAGCCACAGGGACTCTGCAGTTATGGCCCTTGGGCATTCCCGCTTGGCCTATCTTCCTGTACACAGGGGGCTTGCGCACAGACCGCGTCACTCTCTGGCTTGGGGAGGGCCCAGGGGTCTGGAGGCCCCTCCTGGCTGTGCCTGCCCCATCAGCTTGTCAGTATAATCTCTAAAAGGGTGTTCAGTGCCACACCAGGCCTGTGGGAATAACAGGAGGAGAAGCCCAAGGACTGAAGGGCAGGCCAGGGGCCCAATGGTGAGGTCTCTGTGAGGGGTGGGAGACCTGGAGGCTGGAGAAAGAGGCTGGTGGGCTGGGGAGGGTGGGAATGCCAGGCCGCTCATGAGTCTCTAGTGTTACACAACGAGAGCATTTGGTCTCCACCAAAGGGGTTAAGGGTCAAGTTTAGGTGTGTGTTTCCTGGAGCTGGCGCTGGCAGCCCAAGGGTGGGAATAGATGGGTGTTGGGAGGTCGACAGGACCGGGAGGAGGCTGTTAGGGTGAGAGGCCTGAAACTCCTGGAGCAGTGGGGAGGGAGAGCTGGGCAGAGATGGGTGAGGGAAGAGTGCAGGGTGGTTCTGGGCCCCTGCCTGAGTGCTGGGAAGATGGGGATGGCGATGCCCTTTACTATGGGGCACAGGAGGTGAGACGCGCTTCATGGCAGGAGGTGAACATACCCAGTCTAAGCTGCCTTTGGGACATCTGAGCTGAGAAAGGGGCCCATGCCTACAAAAGGGGCCCGGACCTGTCAGCAAACAGATGGTGGCCAGAACTCGGGAGAGCTCAGGAATAAATGGAAGAGAGGCAAATGGCCCCGAAGGAATGCTGGAGGACAGCAGCATTGGAGGGGTCATCGGAGGAGCCCCCCAAAGAACCCTCCAGATAAGCCCAACCCCAGCGGAGGCAGGTGTCACAGTACCATGTTTTGCCTCCGGGGAACCAGTCTAAGGGTTTGGGAACCTACTTATCACCTCCCTGAAGCCCCCGATGCACTGACACTCTCCTCATCCAAAGGGTCCACTTGCCTCTGGACAGTTGGCCCATTGCCGCCTGGAAGCATCCGGGAGGGAGACAGAGAGAGGGGAACAGACGTGAGGGGCTGGCTTGGATGGGGGCCTGGAGAAGGGAGAGCCCAACTCCTGGCTCACTCAACTCTCCTCACCACCCACAGGACCTGGGCCTCGAGGGGACCCTCCTCACTGACATCCTCTACAGGAATGTGGCCTTCCTCAATCTGGTGGACCCCATCTCCCATGACCTGCTTGTGAACCTGGCCCGGGACCTGCAGTGCCCCAAGACGGTGAGGCCAGTAGACATGGACCTCAGGCTGGGCAGTGCAGCTGACAGGGACCAGGAGCGCCCAGGGCTGGGAGCTAGGAGCCTCATTCTCATCCGGCTTGCTTCGAGGCCTTAAGCAGATCAATGTCCCTCACTGGGACCCGACGTCAGCTTCAGTGTACTAGGAACACGTGTGAGCTGTGCTTTCCTACACCTGAAAAGTCTTGTGTTGGGTAGACCTGCTTCCTCTGCGCCAGGACCCAGGATCCAGGCAGGAAGTCATACAGGGACCCTGCGGGACATAGAATGTTCTGACAAATCTGCTGACGGAACCAAACTCCCAGCCTCTGAGTTCCTGGGGCCAGAAGAGAGCCGCCCTCAGCTGGAAACCCTGTCCGCATGTCCCCATCCTGTATGGATACACTTGGGGACAAGTGCTCACTGCTTCCCATAGCAGTGCGAGCCACCAACAAATCCCTCCTCATGTTGAATTGGCGTCTGTCACCTGGGGCCTCCATTCCCCCCGCTCCGCCCCTCCCAAGCCACCACATCTGCTCCAAACTCCACTCTGGTGGCACCTGCAGACATCCTGCCATGAACATTGAAGGTGCTGTGCTCCTGACACAGCCCCCAGCCCCCAGCCCCCAGCCCTTTGTCACAGTGAGTCCCTGCGTGAAACAGTGGTGCCCACTATGGGCCCGGCCAGCCCCGAACTCCGACACTTATATGCAGACATCACCGAGGATCCTGAGGCTAGCCTAGAGCCACCCAGTGACTGCCAGGGCTTGTTGCCACTGTGCGTACGCACTGTTAACAGAGGAACAGGGCAAAGAATGTGCTGGGTAGCGGAGGTTGCACAGGGCCAGCTTTGTGGAAAGCAGAGCATCCCTGTTTTTCCATCCGAGCTAGGTCTCTACGAGGGCCCGCTTAGGCCCAGGAGAGAGCCAGGTCGCAGTGCTGTAATGCATGAACCCTCCCAGATCTGGCAGCCCAGACCCAGGCCCTATGGGCAGTCTAGCTTGGAGAGTGAGAGGAAGAAGAGCATGCTGACCTGGCTTGTTTCTATTCCCTGGGGGTGGCGTCAGTGGAGCAGGGTTCCCTGGAGGGGCCTGGTTCTGCCTCCCCTTGTGGCGAGTCCCCGGGGAGCGCTGAGGGTGGGCAGGGAGCCCGCTGATAGCCCGGGACACTGGCCTTGGGCCTGAGGACAGGGAACAAGGGCCCATTGTCTAGGCCTCCTCCCGCCGAGCACTGCGGGCCTCAGACCAGCCTGTCCAGTTACCAGCGGGCAGCCTCCCCTGGCTCTGTGCCAGGCTACAGCCAGGGTGGGGGGTGAGAGGGGGAGGCTAGTGGGCAGTTCAGTGATCCATGATGAATCATGTGCTGGGCCACACACTTGGATCCCCAAGGCCCAGAGGGGGATGGGAGGGGCTCAGCCTCACCCTGACAACGCCGCCCCTCAACAGGACTATGAGCTCTGGAAGTCCTCGGATAAGATCTGCCGGCAGCTAATCTACCACCTCACCCCTCACTCCAAGCGGCAGCGGGGGTCCAGCCTGCCCCGGAGGAAGACCCAGAGCTGGTAAGGGGAGCCTATAGCCACAACCCCACCTCGTGGCCCCTGAGGGTCCCTTCCTAGGCTGGCATGGAGAGGTAGCTCAGCAAGAGGCTGGTGCCTGAAACCCTACCCTGTGAGCCCCTCACTCTTGTCTGCACCACAGCCCTGGAATGCTCCCCAAGCCAAGTTGCACCCTCTGTGTGACCTGCCTCCTGCTGTTTGCTCGCCCCTCAATCCCTGGCCTATCACAGGGCCTGGTCCTGATCCGGGCCAAGATGACCTCAGCAGACGTCTGCTGAATCCTCACAACACGCTATGGAGGGAGACAGATTCTGGGACATGATTCCAGTTTTACAGGAAAGGAAACTGAGGTTGGGAGAGGCAAAGTGGCTTGCCCAAGGCCACACCCTGCCCTGATTTTCCTACAGCTCTTTGAAAAGCCTTTGCCAGGCTGTCTGAAGCCAAGGCCTCCACAGCCAGCCTGAGAGCTTGCTCTGCCATGGGGTCCCCCTCCCAGTCACTCCATCACAGCTCCGCGGCCAGACAGCCCGGGGACTGGCTGCAGATAACCAGGTCCAGGGACCCAGAACCACAGCCCCAGAGCTCTCCTCTACTTGCTTCCCCATCCTTTGAGCCTGGTGGTTCTCGATGAGCCCAGAGCCCATGGGGTTGTTCCCTGCCACGGTGGCTGGGGCCCTTGAGGTGGTCACACTGCCTATATGCATAGTACGGCCATGTTCAAATGACAGGAGAGACCTAGAGGGGGCTCCAGGGGTGGTGGGGGTCCCTTCTTGGTCTCTAAACTTCCTTTCCAGCTTAGAACACAGGGGGCCCTTCACCTCCCAACAGCCCACCCCTACACCTCCCAACACCTCCCCTCTTGCTACTCTGGGCCTGTCCCCTCTCTAGCCCCCAAAGCCGGGGGGACCAGCCTGATACCGTGTCACCCTCATAGGAACATCTATCTGTACCCACAAAGGGTCAACCTTGGAGGAGGTGTGGGCTCAGGAGTCAGAGCACCTGGCTTCCCTCTTAGCGGTGTGGGACCATGCAAGAGTCCTGTCACCTCTCTGAGCGTCATTTGCTCCTCAGCAGAATGGGATAATAATTCTTACTCTAGATGTAACAGGTGTAGCCACGCAGGCATGCAGTAGGTTTTTATAATAATGGCTCGGGGAAGCTTAACACATGTTATTCCTCACAACAGCCAGGTCCCCTTTTCACCAAAGGAGAAAATGAGGCTCAGAGGGATTCCAAGAATTGCCCATGGCCACCCATCTAGAAAGTAGCATGGCCTGACTGTAGGGCCTGGGTCCCGCTACTACCGCGGGCTGCCCTGACGGGTCACTATCTGCAGCCAGTGGGGACCTGCCTGGGCCATGGACCCTTGCTCAGTCCATCCTTGCCTGCCACCTTCCCACAGCCTCGAGAGCAGCCTCCAGATGACTCAGCTGGCGGGGGAGACCGTGAACCTTTCGGGGATTCTGCTGTCCACGAGGGATGTGCGGCACATCATGCGCTACCTGGGAAGCCAGGGAGCCGGGCTCACGGTGCTGGACCTGAGCTTCACGGGGCTGAGCGACGAGCTGCTGCGCCTGATGCTGCCCAGCCTCTGGACGCTGCCCCACCTCACCCAGCTCCTGCTCAACGGCAACAGGCTGACGAGGGCCACTGCTCGCGAGCTCACTGAGGCCGTCAAGGACTCCGCCAAGTTCCCCGCGCTGGTCTGGGTGGACCTGGGCAACAATGTGGACGTGACCTCCCTGCCCCAGCCCCTGCTGGTCGGCCTGCGCCGGCGGCTCAGCCAGCGCACCTCACTCCCCACCATCTACGAGGGCCTGGACCTTGAGCCTGAGGGCGGCGTGGCTGGGGCCACCTCTGCTGCATCCACCTGGGGCTCTGCAGCCGCTGGGCCAGGGTCTGAGCCCCAGGCCTGCTGCACGAGGTGACCCGCCACCCACCCTGGCTCCTGCCTGAGTGCTGATGCTCCTAGGCACATGGCATGGGGGATGATGGAGGCCCTCCAGGCCCCCAGAAATCCAGTGTAAATGTGCAGCCTGGGATGAAGGGGATGGAAGGAGAAGGGGTTCACCAGAGTCCAGATGGTCAACCCAGGAGGGACTGTCAGGCTTCCCTCGGCAGGAAGCGCCCGGCACCTGCTGTGCCGATCCCACAGTAAACGGTGATGTCCTGCTCTGCCTCAGCCTTTCTGCACCGTGGACCTCAGGGCCACTGAGCGCCAGCCCTGCTTTTGGGGTGGGGAGGAGGGGTGGTCAAAGATTCAAGGATGCTGTCGACCTGGAAGGGAGGGACCAAGCTCACACTGACATCCCCCAGGTGCTCCCTGGTCAGACACCAAGGTGTGGGGTTGGGTCCACCTGTGGGCTGGGGAGTTAGAGGAGGCTGCCAGGAACCTGACCTTCACGTCTGGGTGGGGCTTGGAGAGGAGTAGGTTGGGAGGCCACAGAGGGGCAAAGCTCAGAATGGAGCCCCACAGTAATCTTGTGCCTGAGCCCAGGACCCCTTGGACTGGGGACAAGACTGTGCTGACAGGAGGCAAGGTTCATCGCCCACAGAGCAAGTGCTGCCCACCACCCCTAGTACCCCCCCCCCAGGCTCCCTGTACTTATTGGGCAACTCCACGGGGTTAGGAGATACCCCCGACCAGAGACAAAGAGCTTGTGTGTTCCCTCCAGGCCCTGAAGGCCCACGTGCACAGTCCTTCCCTCTGGTGGACCCCAAAAAAGCATGCAGGAGGTGGAGGTGGGCACATCCAGCAGCGGCTAGTCAGGGGTGGAGCATTCCTAGGGCTGCCCCAGGGGTAGCCTGTACCCAGCAGGGGGCTATCTCCCATCCCCCTAAGGACCATCAGGGCAGGCTCCAGATCAGAAGCCTAAAGTCATGGTTGCCCCTCCCACCCCAGCCTTGTGTGGAGAGCTGGAGTACAGCCCAACTAGGTGTTGGGCAGGGCAAAGACAAGGAAGGGACTTAAAGATGTCCGGGGGCGGGAAACTGAGGCCCAGAGTGGGGAAGCCAGCAGCCTAAGTCTCCCATGCAGAGCCAGGTCAGGTCTGGGGCAGTGGGGATCCTCATGGATGAGGAGAGACCTGGTGGCAGAGAGAAGCCCGCTGGGCCAAAGAGAAGATGGAGCTCACCCCTGGGCCTACGTACTCAGGCCCACCAGCTGACCTTCCTCCACATTTGGGCCCACAGGGGACCATGAGTCAGCACGGATTCCAGCCTGGCCAGATATACAACAGCCTCTTGGGCCAGAAAGGAGATGGTCAAGAAGGGTGAGGACGGCATGGTGCTGGGTTCCAGGACCAGGCAGGAGGTGGGGAGGAAAAGAGCTCCCTCTCGGCTGCTGCCTGCCCACCCCGAGGGCAGGCCCCCGCCAGCCTGGCTGCTTTTGGAGGAACCCTTATCTGGATGTGGTGGGAAGGGTGTGAATAACACCAGGTTCAGCCCAGCTCTCTGCTCCTGACTTGCTGTTGGGACCTGGCCATGGCCTCCTCTCTCCCGGCCTTGGGTCTCTCCTTTTTCCTCTGTATTAAATAGGGCTGGCTCTCCATAGTTCCTTCCAGCTCTCAACCCACCATCCTGGGGTCCTGACCCTCTCGGTCGTCCTTGTTTTAAAGACATGGGCCTGACCATTGGCTTGGGAGCCACAGAAGTGTCTCCGGTGCCCTCACTCCGGAGCAAGGGGCTCAGGCTCCCTGGAGCAAGGCAAAGCAGGGTGGGGGATGAAAGAGGCCGGCAGAGAGGAGAAAGATGGGGAAACCAGCCTTGCACTGGTCAGGCTGTTAAGTCCATCACAGGCAAGAAGTAGTGTTCTCCTGTGATTCTTTGCTGGAGAAATGCCTACCTCTCTGCTCCCCCCAGCCCTCTTGCTCCCCCCAGCCCTCCTGCTCCCCTCGCTCCCTGCCCACCACTGGCCCCAATCCAGCCCACAAACCTTGAATGTCGCTGCTGGGAGAGACTCCTACCAGAATGGTGTGACAGCCTGAGCGGGGTGTCACCCGGCGAGCTCTGGGAGAATTCAGGCGGCAGCAGCTAGTCTCAATCTCCCCGCCTCTCAGACGGAGGCATGCGATGCAATAGTTGAGCTCAAGCATAAACCCGCTCAAGAGAAGAGGGTTGGCCTTGTTGCCAGGCAGGTGTCCACAGCCCCTTCACAGGCCCTCCTGTCAGGGCCTCGCGGCCACCGGCTATTCTACAAGCAGGGACACTCCGGGAGGAGGGGGCTTGTGCCGTGAAGCCTGGTGGGCAGAGAGCCCCCGCCAGGTAGCCTCCAGCCTGAGTTCCAGACCCGAGAGGCAGCAGGTGGGCCTGGCCCAGGCCCGTCTTGGAGGCAGGTAGGCGTGGCCTGGTCGCAGCCCTGTCACCCACTGGCAGTGTCCTCTCGGGGCCTGTTCCTTCATCTTGGGAACTAGTACACCAAGCCTCCCCTTATCCTGCTGGAGAGAGCATGACAAGGTCTGGAAAGTGCCTGCTGTTGGGCGGGGGGAGCCCACAGGGCAGGCACTCTTCAGCGTCAGTGGGGCCCCCACCCAGGGCCCCCTGGATGGAATGGCAGGAGCCCAAACCTTCAGAACTAGGCAGAGCTGAAGCCCGTTATTTATTTGGAGAGTACTCCTGTAGCTTTTCAGTGGGCTAGGTACTGTTCTGATGGCTTTACTCTCCTTTAATTCTCTTCTCCCTTATAGGTGAGTAGCTGAAACAGGGAGAGGTTAAGTGATCTGTCTAAGGTAAAGAGCTAGAAACTGGAGGAGACGGGATGTGAGCCAGGAGGCCTTTGTCTGTGATGCTACAGCCATCCTGGGGGCTGGGGATTCACTGGAATTCTTGAGCAAGCCCCTGCCAAAGACACCATTCGACACAGGAGACCATCACAGGGCTCTGATGGCAGGTGTCCTGCAGTGGGAAAGACCCTCAGCCCACTCCCCCTAGCACAAGACCAATCAGGACCTCCCTGGACCTGTTTTTTCGTGTGCAAAATGGGTGGGGAGGGGAGCAGCGAGGACCCAGGCCTTGCCCCCTTCCAGGATTGAAAGGGACAGATGGGAAGTGGGTTCGGAAGTACTCACCAGACTGAATGAAACCCAGCCAACTGCATGTACCTTCACCTCTCTGGGCATCAGCCTCCTCAAGCCTAAACCCGCCTTGCCAGGATGTTCAGTGCACTGAAGGGAGATGTGTAGGAAAGATACCTGTGATCCACAGGACCTCTGGGACCAACACTTGGCGACTTCTTTTCTGTCCCAGAAGGGAGAATATTTGAGCCCAGATAAGATGCTTTCAATATGAGTTTACAGCAAATGTCAGCCTCTGCTGAGTCTTCGTCTTGAAAATCCAAAATCTCTGGCAGCTGATACCAGTGGTTGATATCAACCCAGCACAGAGGTTTTTCTCTAGGTTCTGGAGGGAAAGGAAAACAAACTTCTTCCTCTTAGAGATAGTTGCCGATCATCAACAAAAACCAGTATTTCCTTTCCCAACTGTATATTTCAATTTTAATTTTTAAAAATTGTGTTTTTATCTTTTTAATTTTTTTAAAAGATTTTATTTATTTATTTGATAGAGAGAGAGAGTTAGCGAGAGCAGGAACACAAGCTGGGGTGTGGGAGTGGGAGAAGCAGGCTTCCGGGAGAGAGAGAAGCAGGCCTCCCGCCAAGTGGGGAGCCCAATGCGGGGCTCGATCCCAGGACCTTGGGATCATGACCTGAGCCGAAGGCAGACGCTTAACGACTGAGCCACCCAGGCGCCCCTATTTTTTAAATTTTTTTTAAAAAAGACTTTATGTATTTATTTGTCAGAGAGAGAGAGAGCACAAGCAGGGAGAGCGGCAGGCAGAGGTAGAGGCAGGCTCCCCTCTGAGCAAGGAGCCCGATGCGGGACTCGATCCCAAGACCCTGGGACCATGACCTGAACGGAGGCAGCCACTTAACTGACTGAACCACCCAGGCGTCCCTATTTCTTTATTTTTTTTAAAAAAAGATTTATTTATTTCGGGGCACCTGGGTGGCTCAGTCGTTAAGTGTTTGCCTTCGGCTCAGGTCATGATCCCAGGGTCCTGGGATCGAGCCCCTCACCGGGCTCCCTGCTCAGCGGGAAGCCTGCTTCTCTCTCTCCCACTCCCCCCGCATGTGTTTCCTCTCTCGCTGTGTCTCTCTCTGTCAAATAAATAAATAAAATCTTAAAAAAATAAGATTTATTTATTTCAAGAGAGAGAGAGTGGGGGGGGCAGAGGGAGAGAGAGAGAGAATCTCAGTCAGACTTGGAGCTGAGCGTGGAACTCCACTTTGGGCTCAATCTCACGACCCTGAGATCATGACCTGAGCCGAAATCAAGAGTCAGGCGCTTAACCAACTGAGTCACCCAGGCACCCCCAGAATTGTATAATCTTTCACTGTAGTACAACTGAAATAATAAAGTGAACATAACAAGTGTTACAAATTTTTTTTTAGATTTATTTATTTATTTCAAATTTTTTAGAGAGAGAGAACACGTGTGGGTGCTTGTGTGTGCTTGCATGTGTGCGCATGTGGGAGGAGAGGCAGAGGGAGAGAATCTTCAAGCAGATGCCCCTCTGAGTGCAAAGCCCAAAGGGGGCTCAATCTCAATCTCACGACCCATGAGATCATGACCTGAGCAGAAACCAAGAGTCAAGACACTTAACCAACTGAGCCAGCCAGGTGCCTCAACAACTGTTACAATTTAAAGTGTACAATATGGTACATTCTGACTGCCATGAAACCACCACCACAATCAAGACAGTAAAGATATCTGTCATTTCCAGAAGTTTCCGTGTGCCCCTTGATAATGCATCCTTCCTACCCCTCTCTGCCCACTCCCTTCCAAGCAGGGGTCTTTGACCTGCTTGCTCTCCTTATAGATTAGTTTGCATTTTCTAGAGGGTTTTGTTGCTTTTTTTTTTAGTTTATTTATTCTTTTGGTAATCTCTACGCCTAATGTGGGGCTTGAACTCACGACCCTGAGATCAAGAGTCACACACTCTTCCAACTGAGCTAGTTAGGCGCCTCTATAGTTTTAGATATATGGACGTTTAGATATATGGAAGAATACGGGGTGTACTCTTTTATATTTCTTTCACTCAGCATAATTATTTTGAGACTCCCACGATGTGGCATATATCAGTAGTTCCTCTTAATTGTTGAGTCGTATTTTATTGGTTGGATGTACCACCATTTATTCACCTGTCAATGGACATTTGGGCTGTTTCCAGTGTTTAGCTATTAAAATACAGCTGCTATGAATATTCATGTACAAGGTTTTACATGAACATATATTTCCTTTTCTTTTGGATAGTAGTATCTCATTATGGTTTTCTTTTCTTATAATATCTTTGCCTGCCTGGTTTCGCTTATCAGGGTAATGCTGGTCTCATAGAATGAGTTGAGAAGTTATTCCCTTCTCTTCAATTTTTTATGAAGAGTTTAGGAGAATTGATATTATTTCTTCCTTAAATATTTGGTAAACTTTCTCAGTGAAGGCACATGGGCCTGGAGTTCTCTTTGTAGATGGTTCTCAACTACAATTCCAGTTTCCTTAATAGGTATAGGACTATTCAGGTTAGTTTCAGGTTAGTATTTCTTGAGTACGTATTGGTATTTTGGATCTTCTAAGGAATTTGTCCATTCATCTGAGTTGTTGAATTTGTTGGCATAAAATTTTTCATGATATTCCCTTTCAATATCTGTGGAATTGGTAGTAGTCACCTCTCTCATTCCTGAGACTGGTAATTGTGTCTTTTTTTTTTTTTTTCCTGATCAGTCTGGCTAGAGGTTTATCAATTTTATGATCCTGATTTTCTCTATGGTTTTCTGTTTCCTATTTCATTGATACGCACTTTGATCTCTTTCTTCTGCTTACTTTAGGTTTCATTGGCTCTTCTTTTTTTTAATTTATTTTTTATTTTTTGTAAGTAATCTCTACACCCAATGTGGGGCTCAAACTCACAACCCCAAGATCAAGAGGCGTGTGCTCCACTGACTGAGCCAGCCAGGTGCCCCTTTTTCTAGATTCTCAAATGAATTTTCTTATCTGGTATTAATATAGGTGAGATCATTGATCTGAGGCCTTTCTTTTTTTTCTAATATATATGTTTACTGCTATAAATGTCCTGTCCCCCCATCCCACCAAGTTCTGTTTTAGTGGCATCCCACAAATTCTGATATGTTGTGTTTCCATTTAAAAGTCAGGTCATGGGGCGCCTGGGTGGCTCAGTTGGTTAAGTTTCGGCTCAGGTCATGATCCCAGGGTCCTACCATCAGGCTTCCTGCTCGTGGGGAGACTTCTTCTCCCTCTCCCTCTCCCTCTGCTCCTCCCTCTCCCTCTGCTCCTCCCCCTGCTCATGTTTGAGCATGAGCCCGTGCTCAGCGCTTTCTCTCAAATAAATAAATAAAATCTTCAAAAAATAAATAAAATAAAAGTCAGTTCAAAATATTAATTTCTCTTTTGGTTTCTTCTTTGATCCATGGATTACTTAGAAGTGTGTTATTTTGTTTCCAAATTATTTAGAGATTTTCCAAGGATCTTTCTGCTAATGATTTCTAATTTAATTTCTTTGTGGTCAGACAACATAGTATGGCTTTGAAGCCTTTTGAATTTTGGTAAATGTTCTGTGTGCACTTGAGAAGAATGTCACTTGAGAATTCTGCTATTGTTGGGTGGTTCTATTAAGTGTTAATCAAAATCAAGTTGACTACTATATCCTTGCTGGTTTTCTGTCTACTTGAGCTATTGATTTTTGAGAGGGGAACTGAAACCCCTGACTGTAAAGGTATTTGTCTATTTCTAGTTGCATTTTTTGCATCATGTATTTTGAAGCTTTATTATTAGGCGGATAAATGTTTAAGATTCATATGGCTCCTTGATTAACTGACCCTATCATCATTATGAAATGACCATTATCCCTGGTAATATTTCTTTTTTTTTTTTTCAAGATTTTATTTATTTATTTTGAGAGTGAGCAAGAGAGAGCACAAATGGGGGTGGGAAGGGGCAGACGGAGAGGGAGAAGCAGACTCCCCGCTGAGCAGGGAACCCAATGTGGGGTTTGATCCCAGGACCCTGGGATCATGGCCTGAGCCGAAGGCAGACGCTTAACCAACTGAGGCACCCAGGCAGCCCCCTGGTAATATTTCTTGCTCTGAAACCTACTTGTCTAATATTAATATAGCTATAGCTACCGCACGCAACTTTCTTTTGATTAGTTGTTACCAATGGTATTATCTCTGTCCATCTTTTCACTTTTATAACCTATTTTGTGTCTTTAAAGTGTGTTTCTTACAGGTAGCATATAGGTGGGTTCTGCTTTTCAATTTTTTAAAATTTTTATTTAAATTCTAGTTAGTTAAAATATAGTGTAATATTGGTTTCAGGAGTAGAACTTAGTGATTCATCACTTACATATAACACCATATCTTCTTTATCCATTCATCAGTCGATGAACATTTGGGCTCTTTCACAAAACTGAGATCTTGATGGTTGCTGAGACTAAGAGTCTGAGGCTCAACTGATTGAGCCACCCAGGCGCTCCTAATAAGTTCTTTATCGATTTTAGATACTAACCCTTTATCAGATATGTCATTTGCAGATATCTTCTCCCATTCCGTAGGTTGCCTTTTAGTTTTGTTGATTGTTTCTTTCCTTGTGCAGAAGCTTTTATCTTGATGAAGTCTTAATAGTTCATTTTTGCTTTTGTTTCCCTTGCCTCTAGTGATGTGTCTAGTAAGAAGTTGCAGGTTCTGCTTTTTTTTTTTTTTTGAAGATTTATTTAGGGGCACCTGGGTGGCTCATTGCTTAAGTGGCTGCCTTTGGCTCAGGTCATGATCCTGGGGTCCTGGGATTGAGTCCGCATCGGGTTCCCTGCTCTGCAAGGAGTCTGCTTCTCCCTCTTCCCTGCTTGTGCTCTCTCTCTCACTAATAAATAAACAAAATCTTTTAAAAAAATAAAGATTTGGGGTGCCTGGGTGGCTCAGATGGTTAAACATCTGCCTTTAGCTCAGGTCATGATCTCCAGGTCCTGGGATTGAGCCCCACGTCCGGCTCCCAGCTCAGCAGGGAGTCTGCTTCTCCCTCTTCCCTGCTTGTGCTCTCTCTCTCTCTAATAAATAAACAAAATCTTTTAAAAAAAATAAAGATTTGGGGTGCCTGGGTGGCTCAGATGGTTAAACATCTGCCTTTAGCTCAGGTCATGATCTCCAGGTCCTGGGATCGAGCCCCACGTCCGGCTCCCAGCTCAGCAGGGAGTCTGCTTCTCCCTCTCCCTCTGCTTGTGCTCTCTGTCTCTTCTCTCTCAAATGAATAAATAAAATCTTTAAAAAAAATAAAGATTTATTTATTTTAGAGAGAGAGAGAGTTGGAGGGAGGGGCCAAGGGAGAGAACCTCAAGCAGACTCCCCACTGAGTGTGGCACCGAATGTGGTGCTCAATCTCACAACCCCTAGATCATGACCTGAGCGAAAATCAAGAGTTGGATGAGCCACCCAGGTGTCCAGCAGGTCCCGCTTTTTAAAATTCAATTTGACAACCTCTGCTTTTAAATTGGAGTGTTTAGGGGTGCCTGGGTGGTTCAGTCGGTTGAGTGTCTGCCTTCAGCTCAGGTATTATCTGAGAGTCCTGGGATCAAGCCCCACATTGGGCTCCTTGCTCAGCGGGAAGCCTGCTTCTCCCTCTCCCTCTGCCTGCCGTTCCCCCTGCTTGTGGTCTCTCTGTCAAGTAAATAAATAAAATCTTTTTAAAAAATTAAAAAAATAAATTGGAGTGTTTATACCATTTATAATTAATGTGATTATTAAATGTGACTGTTAATGTGATTATTAATTACATTTAATGTGATTCTTGATATGGTTAGTGTGGTTATTAATAGGTCATTATTTTGGGGGCACCTGGGTGGCTCAGTCGGTTAAGCAGCTGCCTTCGGCTCAGGTCATGATCCCAGGGTCCTGGGATCAAGCCCCACATTGGGCTCCCTGCTCAGCAGAGAGCCTGCTTCTCCCTTTCCCTCTGCCTGCCGCTCTGCCTACTTGTGCTCTCTATCTCTCTGTCAAATAAATAAATAAATAAATAAAATCTTAAAAAAAAAAAGAAATTTGATACTTTTTTATGAAGAGAAAAAAATGACCTATTTTTTTTTTAATTTTTAAAAAAGATTTTTTTTATTTATTTATTTGAGAGAGAGCTAGAGTGAGAGAGCACCAGCAGAGGGTGGAAAGCAGAGGGAGAAGGAGAAGCAGGCTCCTCGCTGAGCAAGGAGCTGATGCAGAGCTCGATCCCAGGCCCCCGAGATCACAACCTGAGCTGAAGGCACAAGGCAGACACTTAACCAACTGAGCCACTGAGGCACCCCTCAAATTTGTTTCAATATCTAGTTTCATTTTTAAATTAAAGCTGTTAGATAATTTTTTGTAATTTAAAATTCATTATCAGAGGTGAGGAAAACATTATGAAGCTATTACTGACAGTGAATAAAATTATTGGACTATGCATTTATAAAAGCCATGTTTAATACTAAAAGTTCCAGTTATACTACTTAACTGACGGAAATATACTTTAGCTCTTTATTTCTAATTTTTTTAATTTTATTATGTTATGTTAGTCACCATACATACATCATTAGTTTTTGATGTAGTGTTCCATGATTCATTGTTTGCGTATAACACCCAGTGCTCTGTTCAATACGTGCCCTCTTTAATACCCATCACCAGGCTAACCCATCCCCCCACCCTATTTCTAATTTATTTTTTATTTTTTATTTTTTTTAAGATTTTATTTATTTATTTATTTATTAGAGAGAGAGAATGAGAGAGAGAGCATGAGAGCGGGGAGGGTCAGAGGGAGAAGCAGACTCCCCGCTGAGCAGGGAGCCCGATGTGGGACTCGATCCCGGGACTCCAGGATCATGACCTGAGCCGAAGGCAGTCGCCCAACCAACTGAGCCACCCAGGCGCCCCCTATTTCTAATTTTAACACATTTTCATTTTGACATAACTTCCCTTTTTCACCCAATTATTAGTACGATGAACAAAGTTTTTCCAAATGTTAAACCTTTCTTTACCACTTACGAAACATGACTTACAAGAAATTTGAATTTTTAATTTTCACCATGAACCTGTTTGATCAAAATATAGAACATCACTACTAAATAAACTGAAAAAAAGAACGGAATAAAAAACATAAAAGTGGCATCTATATAATCAGCAAATTATCTGATAAGACATTTTAACTAATTCACATTTCTACTTACCACAAGAAAGAATAACCTGGTTCCAAAGTACCACAAGGTTTGCATTTTTACTGCAAGCCTTATTTTTTTTTTTAAGATTTTATTTATTTATTTGAGAGAGAGAGAGGGCACATAAGCAGGGGGAGGAGCAGAGGGAGACGGAGCAGACTCCCCACTGAGCAGGGAAGCTCATGTGGGGCTCAATCCCAGGACCCCAGAGTCAGAGGTTTAACCGACTGAGCCACCCAGGGGCCCCTTTACTGCAAGCTTTAAGTCATAGTGTTATTTTACTCATGTTCGTAAGTACAAAACTTGTTATACCCGGTAGGTGGTATCCTACATAGTCAATAAAAGAATTCTTTATAAAATTAGATTTTAAAAAATGCAGAATTGGGGCACCTGGGTGGCTCAGTCGTTAAGCGTCTGCCTTCGGCTCAGGTCATGATCCCAGGGCCCTGGGATCGAGCCCCGCATCGGGCTCCCTGCTCGGCAGGAAGCCTGCTTCTCCCTCTCCCACTCCCCCTGCTTGTGTTCCCTCTCTCGTTGTCTCTCTCTCTGTCAAATAAATAAATAAAATAAAAAAATGCAGAATGTCTGATAATTATCTCAAAGGCTAAAAAATGAAAAAATGCAGAACACAGAAATAGTCATTGGTTAATATTTGGCTTTGAGAAAGCCAGAAATGATTCTATTCCAAGAAATAAGCAATAATGATAAAAGATGTAATTAGTATACTATATGCCTTTTAAGCCAAAGCACATTTTTCACCTCAAGATAGTTCTGATTTTTACATTCTTAATTCCCTTCGTCCAGAAAAGAACTCCATTCTAAGCCATTATTTGAATAGAGTTCATAATACATAGTCATTATTCTCCACAGGATGTTTTCATTACAGTACATAAACTGCAAAATGGCAAATGACTAAGTCCGTTATAAAGAATTTATAGCATAATAAATGCCAATTTACAATAACCATCAACAGACTTCTACACAGAGCCTAAAAGTTGCTGCAGTAGAAGTCACAACTAACATGACTCTTCCATGTGCTCAGACTTCGTTTACTACAAATTACTGTCATAAAAACCAGAAAAGAAACCTTAGTGGGTCCTTCCAAAGCTGCATAATTTTCCAAATAATTTTCCTCTGGGCGCAAGAAGCTGTTCGTTCCTTCAATCCTTTTTCAGTCATTTAGCGTTTGCAATAGTTCCTTGACAGTTTTGCTTCTTCTTTTGCTCCTTTTCCCTCCATCATCTCGGCCAATTTCCCGGACAGTATGACATTTGTTAGAAACAATGGAGTAAGGGCCAAAACAACATTGTAAGGAAGCCAAGTGGGTCCTTTGCAGCCCATTCCACAACACACTCAGCCCAAGTCTTTATATCAAACATCTCTGTAAGTCTTATGCTTTAATAGTGATCTCCAACTTTGTCCTGAGATTATTAGGGAACTGATAACAATTTCAGATGACCCTTGGTTGTTTGTCTTCTTTGGCTCTACCATACACTTGTGAGACAAGGTTTAAATTCTGTATCTTCCTTCCTTAAGGGGTCCACCAGACTAGATCTCCAAACCAGACACACACAGCTCCTGAAGCTGCAGCTGTTGGTACTTCACCAGCATCAGCATGTCCCCTCCATCCTTTGTTTTCCCCCTTGCTCATTCTTCCTTCCTTACCCTACCCAGCCACCACTCCCAGGGGGCTCTGCCTACAAGAGGCTGCCTCTGCTGGGCATTGGTGCAAAACCTCCACAGCGACCACCACCAGCCTCCCCTACATCACAGCCGGGACCATGGGCTTGGACCCCTCAAGAAGCCATTATTGATGGCCCGTCATCTTGCTATTTCTTTTTTTTTTTTTTTTTAAGATTTTATTTATTTGACAGAGAGAGAGACAGCCAGAGAGGGAACAGGCAGGAGGAGCGGGAGAGGGAGGAGCAGGTTTCCTGCAGAGCAGAGAGCCCGATGTGGGGCTCGATCCCAGGACCTGGGATCATGACCTGAGCCGAAGGCAGACGCTTAACGACTGCGCCACCCAGGCGCCCCTTGCTATTTATTTTCTATTTGCCCCATCTGTTCTTTGTTCCCCTCTTCCTCTTTTTCTGCCTTCTTTTAGAATATTTATGAATCCATCATAAATCTCCTCTTGTTGGCTTAACTTTTTTTTATTGAGGCAAAATCCACATAATATAAAATTCCCCATTTTAACCATTTTTTATTAGATTTATTTTTAGGTAATCTCTACCCCCAGCTTAGGGCTCAAACTTACAATTTATAGAGATCGAGAGTCACGCCCTAAAGCCACTGAGCCAGCCAGGCATCCCACCATTTTAACCTTTTTAAAGTGTACAATTCAGTGGCTTTTAGTATATTCTCCCTGTTGTGCAACCATCCTAATTACAGAACGTTTTCATTACCCCATAAAAGAAACCCCATTGCCATCACGTAGGCACTCCTTATTCTCCCTTCCCCAGTCTGTGGCAACCACTAATCTGCTTTGTCTCTGTGAATTTGCCTATTGTGAACATTTCATATAAATGGAATCATACATGGCCTTTTGTGTCTGGTTTCTTTCACTTAGCATGTTTTCAAAGTTCATCAAACTTCAATTTGAAATTTCTCCCCTTTCCTCCTTTTCCTTCTTTCTCCTCCCATCCCCATTCCTCTCACCTCCTCTGTCTTTTTAAATCATCTATGCCTCTCCTTTTTTCTAAAAGATTTTATTTATTTATTTATTTAGGGAGTGAGTGTGCAAGTGGAGGAGGGGCAGACGGAGAGGAAGAGAGAGAATCTCAAGCAGACTCCCTGCTGAGCACAGAGCCCAACTGTTGGGGGAGTGGGGCTAGATCTCACAACCCTGAAATCTGAGTGGAAATCAAGAGTCAGATGCTCAACCCTCTGAACCACCCTTCTTAACTTTTTGAAAAAGGAAATAGTTAAAATAATGTTTAATGTCCTTCTCTGCTAATGCTAACAATTGGGTCCGTTTTGGATCTGCTTTGACTATTCTCATTATGGGTTGTGCTTTCCTGCCTCTTTGCAAGCCTGGTAATCTGATTGGATGCCAGAATTTTACCTTGTAATGTGCTTGGTATTTTTATATTCCTATAAATCTTGTTGAGTTTTGCTCTAGGATACAGCTAATTGGAAACAGTTTGATCCTTTCCCGTCTCATTTTTATTATTTGTTAATGTGGGTCCTGAGCAGTGCTCAGTCCAGAGCTAATTATTCCTCACTTAATGAGGCAAGACTTTCCTTGATACCTTATTTTTATTTATTTATTTATTTATTTTTTATTTTGTTAATTTTTTAAGTGTTTTAAAAATTTATTTTTATGATGCTTTGTGTCTTGGGGACTTGCTAATCCTGGAGACTGCCCTCCCAGAGTTGGTTAATTCCTAGACAGTAAACAATTCACTTGCAGAGTGAGCCTTTCATATACAAACTTACTAATCAAACTGTAACTCCAACCACCTTTACCTAATTCTCACATAGCAAACCAGTATTTCCTCTGTCCTAAGTCACGTCAGGGCCAGGTTATGGATAACTAGAGACCACTCCTATAGCCAAGAACCCTCTGAATTTATTTGAATGAACCAATTCTAAGCTTACTCAAACTTGCCTACCTTACCTTGCCCATTCCTTCCCCATGGAAACCACAGGTTAAAGGCCCCTCACTCCTACTGCCTCCTGACCCACTCTGGGGTTTCTTCATGTGACTCTGAATGGCATGGCATGCTCCCTTCTCTTGGAAACTGTAATCACCTTTTTTCAAGGCAGTTGTCTCCATGTCTACACTATACCTAATTAAAACAAAATCCTTGGTACATTTTCAAACAATGGTCTACCCAATAGTCTGTGAAATTTTTTTTTTAAGATTTTATCTATTTGACAGAGAGAGACACAGCGAGAGGGAACACAAGCAAGGGGAGTGGGAGAGGGAGAAGCAGGCCTCCCGCGGAGCAGGGAGCCCAATGTGGGGCTCGATCCCGGGATCATGACCTAAGCCGAAGGCAGACGCTTAACGACTGAGCCACTCAGGTGCCCCTATTCTGTGAAATTTTTATCTGGCTGGTAGGAACAATTCCCAGCCTTGTGTAATGCCAGGCAGTTATAATCCTTTTTGATGGTTCTTTCTCTGGCCTCAGTTAGTTTTTTCACACTCTTGTGCTGACCAGTATTCTGAGTACTCAAGAGGGCTCTTCTGCAGATCTCCTGGGTTCTCTGTGCAGCTTTATTCTGGTATTCTGTCTCATGAACATGAGCTGCCTCAACTTCTCTGAACTCCTAGCTCAGACCCTTCAACCTTTCAGTTTCCTCCCTGTTCCACTGCCCAGAAACTCTCACAAGGCAGTAGTAAGCAAGCCATCTTAATTTGTTTCCCATCTCCTAGGGATTGCTCTCTTTCAATGTTTGAGTTTTATTTAATTTTCAGGTTTGAGACCAAATCCATGCACTTAACTCCATTTGACCAGAGGCAGAAAAAATTCCTGCATTTTTTTTAAGCTAATGGAATACCCAGCAGGTAAGCATAGAGACTGAGATAGTATTGATGAATCAACTGAATCTATTTTTTTTTAAAGATTTTATTTATTTATCTGAGAGAGAGAGAATGAGAGAGAGCACATGAGAGGGGGGAGGGTCAGAGGGAGAAGCAGACTCCCTGCCAAGCAGGGAGCCCGATGCGGGACTCGATCCAGGGACTCCAGCATCATGACCTGAGCTGAAGGCAGTCGCCCAACCAACTGAGCCACCCAGGCGCCCGAATCAACTGAATCTAAACCCTCCCTTGCATAGATAACAAACTAGAGGCTTGGAAAGAAGTAGTGGAGGTAATCAGAACCAGAATCTATCCCTTAAATCTTGGTCTAGTTATCTGACATCATTCTTTGCTCTGTATCTTCTTTATTTTGCCAAGTTATTTTCCATTTTCAACTATTTTTTTTTTTTAAGATTTTATTTATTTGAGAGCAAGTGAGAGAGAGCAGAGCAGGAGGGCGGGAGAGGCAGAGAGAGAAGCAGGCTCAATCCCGGGACCCTGGGATCATGACCTGAGCAGACACTTAACTGACTGAGCCACCCAGGCACCCCTAGACTAATATATTTTCAAACAATTTTTAAAATTTTATTTATTTAAATTCAATTAATTAACATATAATGCATTATTAGTTTCAGCAGTAGAGGTCAGTGATTCATCAGTCTTACATAATACTCAGTGCTCATTACATCACGAGCCCTCCTTAATGTCCATCACCCAGGTACCCCATCCCCCTACCCCCATCCCCTCCAGCAACCCTGTTTGTTTCCTATGATTAAGAGTCTCTTATGATTTATCTCCCTCTCTGATTTCATCTTGTCAAAATACATGTTTTTTTAAAAAGAGAGATTGTGCATCAATATCCAGACCTCCATGTGATCTTGAGACTGCTCCTCCCCCGCCTTGGCAAAAGTTGGAAGCTTTTTCTCTAGAGGGGGTAGGTTTCTGGGGAGGAGGCCTTCTCAGAGAGCTGGAAGATAAGTGAACCTAGGCATACTAGAATGCTGAAGCTCTCTAGCCCTCTTCCTTCACTGAGTTCCCACAAGGCCAGCAGCAGTTCAAGGTAAACCCTCCAGACATGAAACTGGAAGTTTCCTCCAGCGAACCTGACCAGGCCAAGAGGAAAGTCCTAAAAGTAGTGGACATTAGGGATTTGCCAAAAAAAGTTCAATCAGGGGCGCCTGGGTGGCTCAGTTGGTTAAGCGACTGCCTTCGGCTCAGGTCATGATCCTGGAGTCCCAGGATCGAGTCCCGCATCGGGCTCCCTGCTCGGCAGGGAGTCTGCTTCTCTCTCTGACCCTCCCCCCTCTCATGCTCTCTCTATCTCATTCTCTCTCAAATGAATAAATAAAATCTTAAAAAAAAAAAAAAGTTCAATCAGTTCATCTTACAAACACATATTCTTCTTAATATCCCACCTGTAAATATAAGCAGACTACCAATGATTGCCAGGCAGCTAAGGAAAGTCTGTAACATGAAAGACTAAAAGCAAAACAAAAAGGGAAAAAAAAATCACGCAGGAGATGAAAGCTTCAACAAAGCATATTAATGTTCTCAGAGATAAGATGCTGCAACCATGGAATGAGGTCCTAATTAAAAAAAAAAAAAAGGAACACTTAGACAATCAACAGGAAATCTTCCATAAAGGAGATCAAAAAGTCAAGAAAACAGGAGGTGGTAGGGACAGAAAAAATAAGAAAAACAGAGATAAGTCCAGGAGATCCAATATCTGAACAGGAATTCCAGGAAGAAAAGCCAGAAAACTAAAGGAAGGAAATCATTAACAACGAATTCAAGGAAGTTTCCCAGAAGTGAAGGACCAGAGTCCATTCTGAAAGGGTTCAACAACAGCCTGGCACTGCATGAAAACAAACCTTCACCAAAGCATGCCACCCTGAAATTTCAGAACGCCAGTGACAGAAGGGAGAAAGAGTCACATACAAAGAATCAGGACTCAGGAGGGGTAACAAGATGGCGGCGGAGACGGTGGAGCTCCATAAACTGAAGCTTGCTGAACTAAAGCAGGAATGTCTTGCTCGTGGTTTGGAGACCAAGGGAATAAAACAAGATCTCATCAACCGGCTCCAGGCGTATTTTGAAGAGCATGCTGAAGAGGAGGCAAATGAAGATGTACTGGGAGATGAAACAGAGGAAGAAGAACCAAAGCCCATAGAACTGCCTGTCAAAGAGGAAGAACCCCCTGAGAAAACTGTTGATGTGGCAGCAGAGAAGAAAGTGGTAAAAATTACATCTGAGATACCACAGACTGAGAGAATGCAGAAGAGAGCTGAACGATTCAATGTACCTGTGAGCTTGGAGAGTAAGAAAGCTGCCTGGGCAGCAAGATTTGGGATTTCTTCAGTTCCATCAAAAGGTCTGTCATCTGATGTCAAACCTATGGTTAACCTGGATAAACTAAAGGAAAGAGCCCAAAGATTTGGTTTGAAGGTCTCTTCAATATCCAGAAAGTCTGAAGATGATGAGAAACTGAAAAAGAGGAAGGAGCGATTTGGGATTGTTACAAGTTCAGCTGGAACAGGAACCACAGAGGATACAGAGGCAAAGAAGAGGAAAAGGGCAGAGCGCTTTGGGATTGCCTGATGAAAAGCTCTTAATGCTTTCTGTTCTCCAGTGGTTTCCATCTCTGACTTTTCTTGGTCATATGTATACCTAAATGCACAGTCATGTGCCTAGGTTCTGCCTCGCAGTGAGAGAGCATGTACCCTGGGTACATCCAGGAACTTCAGCAGCAATTTGACTCATTGCTGTTCCAACTTTAAGGTTGTTGTTGTTGTTTTTTAATTATTATTTTGCTTGTTAATAAAAAACAAATAGAAAAGAAAAAAAAAAAAAGAATCAGGACTCAGAATGGCTTGACTCTTCTAACAGCAGCACTAGATGGTAGGTGAAAAGTAACAATGCCTTCAAAATTGTAAAGGAAAATAAATTCCAAACTGGAATTTCACACCCGATCAAGTATGAGAAGAGACATTTTTCAGACATGCGATTCACTCAAACTACTTTCCATGCACATCTTTTACTGCAAGCACTCTACCAGAATGAGGTAATAAATCAAGGGGAAAAAGACTCAGGAAACAGGAGACTCAGTAGGGGAGAGCCCATGATGACAGCACGATATTAAGCATAAGGGAGAGCCAATCCAGATAGGGGCAGGTCAAGAAATCGATAAAACAGATGATGTGTTAATGTCCTTAGAGAATTTGGGTTGAATTAATGACAAGTAGAGAGAAAACTAAGCTAGTAACTAATAAAAATGCAAGAGGATTACTAATTCTAGGGAAAAGAAAGTTCTGCAGGAAAGTAATCTCATCCACTACATGGCTCAGCTGTGATTTAAACACCCATAGTAAACACTTAATATATAACCTAACTAGAATTATATCAGGGGGATGGGTGATGGGGAGTACATGCATGGTGGGCAAGAGAGAGAGAAGTCAACAATAATGCCTACAATGCAAACACCAATAAATAGCCATGCACACGTTTAAATGGAGACTTGGTGGCAAATATAAACTTACCAGCCAACAGTTGAAAGGGAACACCGTGAAGTGGGAAAAATGGGGAAGGGCAGATAGGGTAGGAGGGTTGCTGTTTTTCTTAACAAACGTTCCAGAACTACTTGCTTTTTCAATGCAAAATAACAGATTTTCTTCCTAAAATGCGGGGTATAAAACTGTTCACAAACCTATTTTGTTAATTTATTGTTTTTATTTTTTATTTATTTATTTTTTTGGGGTTTTACTATTTATTTATGACAAACATCCCACATCCGTGATCTCCAGTCAGAAGTTCTTGGAAACGATGCCATCGGCCTTGGCCAGTCGGAGGATGGAGTCATCGGACTCACCCATCCTGCAAATGGCCCCACAGATAGCATAGGTTTTGAACTGGCCGTTGAACATGCCCGTCACCTTATCAACCTCGGCCATGTTCATCTGGATGGACACGTGGTCCTTGGCGCCGATGATGCAGTTGCTGGCGGAGCATTTCCGCGGCACGTACAAGTCCACGAACTCACCGGTGTCGTTCTGCATGTCGAGGGCGCGCCTGCTTCCACCACCACGAGCTCGAGCGCAGAAAGCAATTTATTGTTTTTAAAAGTTTCAAAATTTTGGGCGCCTGGGTGGCTCAGTTGGTTAAGCGACTGCCTTCGGCTCAGGTCATGATCCTGGAGTCCCAGGATTGAGTCCCGCATCGGGCTCCCTGCTCGGCAGGGAGTCTGCTTCTCCCTCTGACCCTCCTCCCTCTCATGCTCTCTGTATCTCATTCTGTCTGTCTCAAATAAATAAATAAAATCTTTAAAAAAAAAAAAAGTTTCAAAATTTTGCGAGTGCCTGTGTGGGTTAGTGGGCTAAGAGTCTGCCTTCGGGGCTCAGGTCATGATTGTGAGATCCTGGGATTGAGCCCTACATCAGGCTCACCGTTCAGCAGGGAGCCTGCTTCTCCTCCCTCTGCCCCCGCCCCACGCTCGTGCTCTCTCAAATAAAATCTTTATAAAAAAATATTTTGAAAGTTTCCAGATTTTTACTGCGCACATTTAATTAAAAACGAAACCATAAATGGAAACTCCACTTTTCAGGATCTAGGTAGGGTTACAGCTAGTTTTTACTGCGTGTAGAAATCATGCAAGACTGATATTCCTGCATGGTTCCCAAGGTAAACCATATCTGGTCAGCTTTTTATGCAATTCATGTGTTAAGTATAATGTGTAAGTAAAGTTTTGCTTACTATAAAAGTATGATAATTTAAGCAGTGACCCTACTAAAGTAACATATTCTAGTCCAAGATATCAAAATGTGGCCACAGACCTACTGAATCAGATCTACCTAGCTTGGGTGGCAAGGGCATTGCTTAACATGCAGATTCCTGGGCCCTACCCCAGACCAATTATTCAGTAATCTCTAGGAGTAGGGCCTTTCTGGAATTTTCATTTCTAACAAGATCCCTAAAGTGATGTTGAAAACTACTGCTCTCCCTCACTATATTAGTAATTCAATAGTGTTCATTAATAAGCCAATAAATCAATGTCTGTAAATCAAGCTCACAGGCAGGGAGGAGGGAAAGGAATCCATGAAGGGTAGTGGATATCACGTCTACCTGAAAGAATTCTACTTAAAACACTTAAGAGAAATTCCACTCCATATGTAACTCAATGTACAAGTTTCTTTTCTTATCAGAAACAATACATTAACTCTTGGTCAAACCTAAAACAAATGAACTCTAACTCCATTCACATGAAGTTCATTTGAAATGGTTCCCAGTCCAGGAGCAACCCCCCCCCCCCCCAGGGGTAGCACAGCCTGCAGGGCCATTAGCATTCATCCAAATGTGTCAGAGGAGCTGGGGCTGCTGGAGCAAGAGGTGCAGGGGTTGCTCTGGGGGATGGATCTCTGAAGCCTTATTTCCGGGCCTGCAGTATCTGACCAACACTCTGAGGCTTATTCCTTAGTTCTTTATTACAGGAATAACGCAAGGTCTGTTAACACGGTGGTAGTGTCATGATTATAAGGCAAAGCTTGTTAGAAAATTCCTACTTGATGCCTAGTTAACAGATGTGTTGGATTTTCTTCTTTTATTACTTGAACAATGTGTCCCATGAGCAATGTTCTAAGGGCAATTAATCAATCCCTTTTCCTCATAATAGTTTTTGCTGAAGCGCATCCTATACTGAACCTGTGGCAAGATCTCTTTTCAGTACTTGACTTCTTCAAGCCTGCTTTTCCAATTTCTGTGTTTTTGTCAGTTACTCACTTTGCATACCTTGTCCTCTCTACCTCTGCTACATTAAAAGCCATGACTGTGCCATTGCATGCTGAGATGCTCTGACAAATGCCTAAGAACCTATCCCCACAAATCACCACAACACTGCTTATGAAGCCAGCGTAGGAGCCACAGATGTTGGCCACTAGGATTCCCTAAATTATCTTTTAATATTAGGTTACTTTTGCCAAATGCTGAACGACTAGTGTTTCCAGGCTACAAAGATCAGAATGGTGGACTTTTTCATCGGCTAGGAGCACCCATGCGGTGTTGTTTAAACTGAGCTGATGAAATCTCCACAGAGGTTACCTGAACAAAGCACCATACAAATGCTTGTGTCTGAAGACACAATGAGACATCTATCTGTGTGTTCTCGGAGTTTTTCTGAGGGTTTAACCAGCAACTGGCCTGGAACAGTAGCTTAAACTCTTATCAGTAACTGCGCTATTTCAAAGTACTGGCATTCTCCCAGGGTATCTTCCTGGGTGTCAAAATTTAACCTGCTGCCAAAGCAAACAGAACACCAAACCCCACAATGAACACACAGTCCTTATTTTTTCAAAAAGAAAAACAACAGGGGCACCTGGGTGGCTCAGTTGGTTAAGCATCCGACTCCTGGTTTTGGCTCAGGTTGTGATCTCAGGGTCATGAGACTGAGCCCTGTATCCAGTTCCGTGCTCAGCATGGCGTCTGCTTGGGTTTCTCTCTCCCTCTCCCTCTGCTCCGCACGCCCCACCCCCCAGCATGCTTGCGCTCTCTCTCAGATACATAAATCTTAAAAAAAAAAAAAAAAAAAAGCAACAACAAAAAAGACCACCATATTTATTTAGTTTAACATTTCCCCTGATCTAAAGAGAAAGATGTCAAAAGAAAATCTAGAACATATACATAAGCACACACCCCCCTGAATCCAGATAACCCAAAAGAAAATAATAATGGCAAAGTTCTGTTCAACAGTTAAATTTATCTTCGCTTCTGGAAGATGTTTCCACGCCCCATTCCACGTCCTCTTCCTCTCGCAGCCACTGAAAGGTGGGAAAGAAAGGACAAGGCCAGGTCAGTGCAGTCAGCGAACGCTCATGCCACGGAGCAGCCAGAGCCCTTGGACAGGGGCACAGGAAGGGGCCTGAAAGGCCACCTGGTCCAACACCATGCCCACCCCATGGCATTTCCTCATTGCATGAGGACTTGTGGCTGGCATCAGAGTTGGAGTGCCTTCCAAAACTCCTGCCTTCCGGTCCACCACTGCTCTCAATATGAGGCTGGGAGTCAGGGTGTTGAGAGCTAAGGTGGTTTGGGGAGCAAGCCTGAGAACCACAGAAAAGATGAATTCCCAGCACTGGCCAAGGGGAAGCTAATAAAACAGGACAGATGAACTTAATTCACACTTAAAATTCTGAAACAAATAGTTAAACATCTGTTAAATCTGGGTAACAGGTTTTATTATTTTTTAAGCTATTCTGCAATATAAAATGTTTCATAATAACAAAACAAATAAAACCACTCCCCATTCAAAGGGCATACAAGCTGCTGTTCTCTGTGACTCCAAGAGTTCAGGAGAGGTCCAGTGGCTTTGAAGGACAGGTGAAAATATTCTGATGGCTACTAACTGGAGCCTTACCCTCTTCCATCTTCTAGAGCCCCTTGAAGAGGGAGGAAAGTCACCCAAGAGCCCAGCCACATGCTGAAAAGAACCAGAGCAAGGGACTGACAGAGGCACAGATGGCTCAGGCAGAAGCCAGTGGGCGTGGGCAAACTCACAGCCAAGTGCCTTCTAGTGCACAGCTACTGGGCTGCACCTTTGTTAGAGATGATGGTGCAGTTATACAGTGACAATGAGGGCAGCCCTTCCCTGAGAAAGCAGAGAGAACAGCAGTTCTAGTAAGAAAACCAGTATTCCTGAAAACCATTCCTTCACCAGGACAAAAGGTCCAGAGCTTCCGGTTCTACAAATGCCACTTACCTAGGAAGGGAAAGGAGATTCTCCCATCAGTGTTTTTGAAGGACATTTTAAAGGATTACTCTATTGCACCTTTAAATTCAAAAACTACCTCATATATAAAATATGCACAGCAAAAAAAAATACTGAAGGAGAATCCAGTGACTTTCCTGCACTACAAATCTTTTTACTGATAGTCAGATAGTTTCTAATGAATGCACTTGCTTCCTAGATAATCAACATGGCAGAGCTTTTCACGGACCCAAAGATAAAACCTCTGACTGGGCTAACCCAAAAGAAAGGCCAGACTAAGGCAGGTCAATGGATCACTGGGGACATGCTAAAGGAAGGATTTATTTTCAAATATAAGAATATTTGAAAACAGAAGTCCAGTCCCTATAATGGGTAAAGATGGCTTAAAACTGCTTATTTCTTAAGTGAAAATGGATCCCTACTGTCTGCATTTCGCCCCACTTACGCTGGGTGTCCATAAACACCCCCAGGTCTCAGGGAACTGTTGCCCCACTGCTTTAGGTGGCAGCTAATCCATACCACAGTGCCCCTCCTCAGCAAACTAAATAAGAGCAAGCCTCCCCCAGACTCTTTGGACAGAATTTCTGGAAACAAAGGGGCCTCCTAGAAATTCATTATAGGAGACTTATCCACTCTCTCATTTAAGACAGGTGTCCCCTTCTTCTTTCTAAGGAGGCACTTTGGATTTTGCATAAGCCCTATGAATGTGATCAGGTGAGGCAAGACAGAGAAGACGAGACATGGCCCCCAGCCCCTCAGAGGTGGGGGCCCCAAGACTGCAGGGTGGCAGTGGGTGTGGAGATGGCTGAAGTCCAACTCCACCCCCATGCCCAGGCAACTGACAGGGCCCTTTCCTAAAAGATACAGGACAAACACATATGTTAAAAACAGTGCAAGAGGAGCACATACCTTGGGCCTTCAGAATAGCAGCTTTTCCCCGGCCAGCCCCTGAGCCTTGGTTTTTATTTTTCATGCTCTTTAACATGGGCGCATTTTTCAGCATGTCAGGCAAAATGAGAAAGCGGATCTTGCTGCCACGGATGTACACCTGCTCCAGCTGTGCCACTCGGCCGTCTCTGTATGTGACTGTGATGTTGGACATCTGGAAGGGAATCACCAGCTCATCAAGGGCCAACAGCACCAGCACACAACAAGGACACACAAAGAGGGGGAGCCTTGGCTGGTGATAGGGGAAGTCCAGAAATGCAAAAACCAACATCGTGAAATAAAGGAGCCAGGCAAAGCACTTCACATGTTTGGTCTTCACAGCACCTCCAGGATAGGCTATGGGCATTCCCGTTTTTTATAGATTAAAAAAACCTAAAGCACTTGTCCAAAGTCCAACAGCCAGAATGAAAGAACCCAGATTCAAATCCAGCTGGCCTGACTCCAGAGCCCTAACTCTGGATACTGCCTCCCTTGCCAGCATGTGAAGGGTTCTCATGGTGAAAAACTCTAATCAAAACAGCTGTGAACCGCTTGTCCAAACTCTGTCCTGCCCTGCATCTGCCCGGTACATACACTGCAAAGGCACCACGAAGGCCATGAGCGTGCACCAGAGGCAGCTCCTATCCTCCCAGAGTGCACACTCGACAAAGTGGGACAGAGCCCCTCTAGCTTCAATGCCTAGGGATGAGAAGTATAGGGGGCAGTGCCTGTATGAATGGCTCAGAATATTGGGAGAGGTGTGAGGCGAGAGCCTACACTGAGAGACAGGACACTTGGGCACGAACCTACAGGATACAAGGACTGGAGCAGAGCAACTGGGAGGGGGAAAAAGTTATCACCTTGGGAGACTATGGGGCTCATTCATTTGTGGACAGGGTTAGGATAGCACTTTGTAAAGATCAAATACGCCAACATGGGTGAACTGTGGGATGGAGAGACAGGGAGCCTAGAGGTGAGACCAGCCAGCAGACAGGCTTGGCATAGGAAGGGAACCTAAACTTGCCAGTGCCAACCTCAACAGGCACCACATTTACCATAAAAAGTAGCTTATTTTGAGTCTTCTGGATGAAACAGTATATACATTTATTCAGAATAGGTCAAAGCCCATTGCAGAGAGAGGTGCTGTGTCCCCAGATTTCTGACTGGCTTGTTGCCACCTTATACTCATTCTTTTCCTCAAAGTGCTAACTGGCCACCTCTGCTTGAACACCCAGTTTGCAAAAAGACTAACAACATTCTAGGGCCATCCTCGCTAAATCTGTGCAGTTGGAATGGTCTGTAGAGCTTCAACCCACTGCCCCTGTTCCACCCTCAGGAATAATAGGGCTCAAGTTTCCCATAAATCTTCTACTCCAGGCTCAACATTCCTAGTTTCTTAACAAACTTCCACACAGGTTCTAAATCCTTGCCATTCTGTTCCTGCCTCAAAGAATACCATAACCTCTGGAGGCGCCTGGGTGGCTCAGTCAGTTAAGTGTCTGACTTCAGCTCAGGTTGTGATCTTGGGGTCCTGGGATCGAGCCCCGCGTCAGGCTCTGCATCCAGCAGGGAGTCTGCTTCTCCCTCTGCCCCTCCCCCTGCTTGTGCTCACTCTCTCAAATAAATTTAAAAAAAAGAATACCATAACCTCTGGTGCCACAAGTGAACATGAAGTATGACTAACAAAGCCAACTTTTATTGGGCACTTATTAGTATCCCAGGCAATTTCACATTATAACTCCTAAAAATCACACGATTCTACAAGATAGAGATCATCGCCATCCCCACTAGAGATAAAGAGGCACAGCCAGCAGAGGCAGACCTGTCCTTAGAGGCCACACTCTTACCCACTCTCTATTCTTCTGCCTAAGGTCACACTACCTGTGTGGCCTACAGAGCACTATAAACTCAGGTCTAACTCTAAACCCACATTCTGAAACCATACATCAGATCACCACTTCCTCATCATCATTCACGCTGAAACCATACATCAGATCACTTACTTCCTCAAATAGTTAAGGAGCTAACTAAATGAGACAAATATGTCTAAACGCTGTTCCTATTACCGAGCATATATTAGAAGCTCAGTAAACAATGAATCTAAATGACAGTCAAGACATCTATTTTGGAGGCTATGCTACTGCTAAGCTACTTCTCCTCCAGTACATTCCAGTACATACATCTCACCCCTTCCTCTGCTACAACCTCCCCAAACCACTTTGAGAATCCCTGACAGAGGGTGTTCTGTAAGACCAACAGGACAAACGGTTTTCACAAATGGATGTGTCCTGGCTGACGCAGGAAAGGGTCCAGCATCAACTGACAACCCTAATAATGACCAGGTCGGCTACTGTTCTCATGCGCCACCCTGCAGCACCAGCAGAGAAATGGCTGTGCTGTGTATAAAACCCCACAGTCCCGCCCACCTATACAGCTTGTTAATAAGCCCAAGCTATGTCTCCATCATAAGCCAAAGGCAACAACTTGAGTGAACTAGGTTTCAATGAAGTCAGGTAGGAATACCCACTCTACTCAAACTTCCCACTTTCCCAAACACCCATAATGAAACATAGGTGGCATAAACCAGGTGCCCAACTGAAAGTGACATCTTGGGGGAGAGAGAAGATCTTAGTACAGTCAAAACTGTGGGAATTTCCTCACACAGGGCCAAGAGGAGAGCACTAACTCCAGGACTATAAAGCAATGTTGGCGTGCTTTAGGGTCATCAATCACAACATCCCTGTTGTGGGGCACACAGCAAGTGCTCAACAAATGTCTGGTCCCCTCCCCTACCATTAATAGCAGAGCCTCCCTCTTTTGCTCCCTTCTACTCATCTTCTTGCCTGAAATCTGACAGAGTGAGGGTCTGACATTTCTAGAAGCAACAGGACCTAGCAGGTTTATTATACACCTCATCTTCAGAGACTACAGTTAAGATCAGAGATTTGGGACTCAGACTTGGATTTAGATCCATTCCTTCTATGCTTGGTCACCCTGGGCATCCGGAAGCTTGTCCTCAGAGAGGTCCTGTGATAATTGAAAGATCAATTGTACATAAAAAACACTAGCATAGTGCCTGGTACAGAATAAGCATGCAATGAATGGAAGTTTCTGATACTACTTTTTTCCCCCTTTAAGTTATTCATTTATTTTAGAGAGAGAGAGACAGCACGCGTGCTCGAGAGGGTGGGGGGAGGGGCAGAGGGAGAGAATCTTCAAGCAGACCCCACCACCACCACACTCCCTCCCTGCTGCCCACCACAGCTGGGTGCCAAGCCTGACATGGGGCTTGATCTCATGAGCCTGAGATCATGACCTGAGCTGAGCTGAAACCAAGAGTGGATGCTTAACCCACTGTGACACCTAGGCACCTCATGAATGGAAATTTCTGGTACTATTAAACACAGCCTTTTGGAGACGGCTCTTAGCTTGACACGTTAAACTAAGACTTTTAAAATATTTAACAGTACCCAGATCTTGGTTTTTAAATTCTACTCCCAACCAAAAAGAAACCAAGGCTACCTGAAGAAATGGCTGATTCCAGAGCTGGGTTAGGGAAGGTAAAAGATGAGCCTGCAACAAACATCTTATTCCAGAAAGTTAAGGATGTGCTCCCCCAAAATGGCCAGGAGATACCAAAAGGACACAAAAGGAGTCATCTTCTGGACAAATTTGAGATAAATCAATCAAAATAATGATAGTAACAGATTATAACCCATCTAATGAAACAGAAACCCATGAGCCTATACTGATAATAAATGAATGAATAAATTGGGAATAAGGGAAGGCTCTTCCATACAGCAGACCTAGTTAATATAGAAAGAATGATGGAGTTATAAACAAAAAAACATTCTCAGGCACCTGGGTGGCACAGTGGGTTAAACATCCGACTCTTGGTTTCGGCCCAGGTCGTGATCTCAGGGTCGTGAGATCGAGCCCCACTCTGAAGTCTGCTTGAGATTCTCTTTCCCTCTCCCTCTGCCCCTCCCTCTCACGTGCGCGCTCCCTCTCTCTCTCAAATAAATAAATAGATCTTAAAAAGTAAAAAAAACAACAACATTCTTTTGCAACCGTCATGGTAAAAAGATTCAAGCAAGAATCTTCACTGGATGCTAAAAGGGGGGTGGTGGAGGTGGTGATGAGAAACAGAATACTCACAAGATAATTACTTAAAGAACCTCCCTCACAAAATTCTCATTAGTTGCCAAAGGAAAAAGAACATACAGTGGAGAGACCACACAACACTTCAACCAAATTATCAAGGTTAACATGCACCAGTAAGGGGCAAACAAGTGTTTTGGGCCTCCTAGTGACACCTGAAGGAGAAGAAGTCACTTACACAGTAACAGCCACAAACAGTACCCCACACAAACAAAACAAACCCCAAATCCAATCATGAGGAAACACCACAGAAACCCCAATCAAAAGACATTCTAAAACAAATAACTGGTCATTATTCTTCAAAAATGTCAATGCTGTGAAAAGCAAAAGCAGAAGAACTGTCCCAGACTAAAGAAGCACAAAGCAAGCTGATCACTAAGTATAATACATGATCCTGTATTGAATGGCACATAGAGGAAAACACTGCATCTATAGATAACACAAAGATAGGTAGTTTTTCATTCTAGCTAGAAAGCGTATCTGGAGAAATTCCCAACCACCCTGCATTCAGAAAATTCAAAAACTTTCCTGATGTTAATTCTGGGCAGTTTTCTGACAGTCATGTGAGGGCTTCTCTCAGGTTATCATTTTTACAGAAAGAAATCATGCACAGGCCATTTTCCCACAGACCATTATTCCATAACCAAAAAAATAGCGTTTGAACAGTCCAGTCAGTGATGGGGTGGTCATGCTGAAGCCCGAAAAGCACCATCTCGGCTCCAGGAGAGTCTCTGAACTCTATCACTCTCTCCCACCAAAATTTCCAGGAATTATAATTGCTTTAAGAAGTGAAATTTTGGATTTGATCATTTACCCTCTTCTTTTTTTAAATCTATTATTATTATTATTATTATTATTATTTTAAGATTTTATTTGACAGAGAGAGAGAGTGAGAGCAGGGAACACAAGCAGGGGGAGTGGGAGAGGGAGAAGCAGGCTTCCTGCAGAGCAGGGAGCCCAATGTGGGGCTCGATCCCAGGACCCTGGGATCATGCCCTGAGCCAAAGGCAGACG